GGCCGGTGCGGGTCCCCGCAGGGCGGGAGCAGGAGGCCGCCGGAGCGGCAATGGCCAGGCCCACCGTTGTGCCCACGAGCGTCAGGGCGACGGCGCCGGAGGCCTTCATGGTGCTCCACCTGAGGATGAGGGTGGTGGAGGAGCAAACCAGCGCACTGGTGCGAGACCTGGAGGCGCTCGGCGTCGATGGGCAGAGGTAGGGAGAAAGCAGGGGTAAGGTTTTTTCCTTCTTAGAGAGCTCACGCTTTTCTTGATTTTTTTTTTTCTCATCTTGTTCCTCTTTGCACCTATTTGCCATGCTTTGCTCTCCTCTCCCTGTGGGAGTTGGTACTGGCAGAGTCAGCCAGAATGGGCTACAGCAACCTGGGGTCACAGGAAACCTTGCAGCTCTATGAAAAGTGGTTTCTAGTGTAATCGCATCTGTAATGCATACGTGCAATGTCAGGTAGGTATGCATACATAGAGTAGGTCAGTCTTTTCTCCTTTTCAGCCTCGATGGTTTCCACTCAAAGACCTCAGAAACACCTGCTAGTCACCCAGCCATTAGCCCTGTGCAAGCCAGGGTAGCATTTGTGGGAGAAAATACACTGTGGAAAAACTGTGAAACGCTGGTGAATCGAATGTGTCGGTTAGAGAGTGTTGTACAGACACTGAAATTAAACATCTTCCGGCTGCAGACAGAAAAGGAACTGAATCCAAAGCATGCAGGTAGTAAAGTTTTTTTACCACTTCGTTCTTCATTGTCCCTCCATATGCTTTTTCTGTCAATGAAAGTTTTTTGCCTTTTCCTTGTGGCAGCCCAGTTGGAGCAGCGCCTGAATACAATCCATGAGGAGCATTTGCAAGAAATGAAGATTGTACAACAAGAAGCAATGAAGTTGCGCCAACACCTAAGTGATGTGAAAGAGGCTGAAGAAAAGGCAAAAGAAGAAGTTCAGAGGCTGAGTACTGCTCTGGAGATTACAACTGCATCCAAGGTACAAAAGATTATGATCTTAGTATAGTTTCAAGTACTAACAGACTTGGTTTTAAGTATGTTCATCTCTGACATAGTTAAACAAAAAGCATACTCAGCTGAAAAAAGGAGTTTATGATATATTGTTGGCAGTAAGAGCAAACACTTGATAATGAGAATCTGTGTTTCCATCGATTAAAAAAAAATTACATAGCAAATTAAGAATAAAAATATTTGAGATTTGTAATTATCTCATCTTCGTGACCTAAGTTCATCCTAGCTTTCATGTGTAGAGTTCTCAATAGCTTTTTGTTTTTTCCAGGAACTTACATTTCTCTGGTATTTCAGTCTTACACTTCTATTACTATCTCCCCTGAAGAGAACTTCAATGGAGTATGTCACTCAATCTCATTAATTGTATTAAAGAATGCGTTGCTTCTTACTGCTTGCACTCTTATATTCAGTGCCTCAGAACAGAGATCATCAGACTGGGGGTAGAAATCAAGTTCTAGGTGTTAGCATGGCAGTTGCATTTTATAATACCTATTGCTTTTGCAGCAGTTATGAACATGAAAGGATAAAAAATCTGTTCCTTTCATCTTCTTTAGATGGATGTAGTGATTGCAGCTGAGGAACTGAGGAACACAAAACAGAAAATTAGCTGTACACTTCAGGAGGTAAGTACAACAGCAAGGAGCTTAGTCGGAGGCTGAATTTGCCAAGTAGTATTTAAAGATTTGAAGAAGATAATCCTTAAATGCTAGTCTGGGTGCGATTTTGGAATGTGCATAACCCAAAGGAACCTGCCAGCCATGCTCATAACTAAATACCTAGACAGAACATCTTTCATATATGATCTTGAAGTATTTTTTTCAATCTGTTTAATTAGACCTGGGTCAGGAATTGTTTATTTTTTCTAGCTAACAGAACAGCTGTCCCAGGAGATCAGCCTGCGGGAGTCTTTGGAGGAATCCCAAGCAACTGTGATGTGTCATGTACAGGACATGGAAACAACAGTAGAAGCAGAACGGAAGCAGGTTGGAGAAACTTTCAGTCTTTTGTATCTGTTTTCATTTTCTCATCTGGGAGGAAGAACAAGAACTTGAATGTCATTCCTAGAAACCAGTTAAAACTGTAACTACAACATTTTGTACAAATGTTGATCAGAAGAGATCATGTAGTCAAACTTCCTGCTCAGACTAGGAGTATCACAAACACTGGATTGGGGCAGTGGTGGATTTGCCTAACAGAGTTCAAGGACTGTAATTCCATGGCTGCTTTAGGTATTTTTATAGTGCTGCAGTAATGTTCCAGTTAAGGTTTTTTTTCTAGCATCCAATCTGAACGTCCCAAGCTTAAATTTGGGACCATTGCCCCTTCTTAAATCATTTAGTGCAACTGAAAAGAGTTTGACTTTATAATCTTTGTAACTACCTCTCAGATTTGTGGGCCACAACTAGATCCTACCTTAACCTCTTCTTCACCAGGCTAACCAAGCCTCTTTATAATTGAGGTACTGATAAATAGGTAGAAAATGCAATTTCTGAAAAATATTCTGTTGAGATCTTAAACCTTCTGGGAGTAAGAATGTTTTCTCCATTAATTGCCATGATGACAAAGCTAGATTTTTGTTCTCAGATGTATTCATATTATCTAGCTATTTTAGAGTGTGGGGAGAGGCCATAGTTCATGGTCAAAATGAACTGGCTTACACATAATTCAAATAAAACCAATTCCTCTCTCTGCATGCATACACACACACAAGCCACATGCAGTCACTCTAATGCTTCTGAATTCATAGCAATAGTTTAGTAAGGATAAAAGAAAGTGAATAGCAAAGTATCAAAACTTGAATAACTAAGGTTTTGGTTTTTTTTTTTTCAATTTTTTTGATGATCAAGGTCTCTGTTCCTGAAACACACGAAGTTCTGTTAGAAATTACTAGATTTTTTTCCTACATGCCTGTTATCATCTTTATGTTCTTCTACAGCAAAAGTGGAAAAATGATGGACACTTTATTGAACTATATGTATTATACATCATGTGAGAAGCAAAGGCTTAGTTTAATTCATTTATCACTTTCTGACAGGTATAGTTGACCCTGTGGTATATTCCCTAGTTAGCATTAAAACAAAAAAAACCTTGCAAAACGGCACGGGACAGACTTGTTAAGTGCCTTGAGTATTGCATTCAGCTTCATCTTTTATAGCTTGACCTTTTCTGCAATTTTTAATTGTGCAAACTTGTTAGATTCTGCCTGTTGTGTAAAGATGATTATAAGCACACATACACTGCGTTACATACAGAAATTGAGTTGCTTGCCATAAAAGTCTTCTGCATAAGATTGGGGCAAGCAGAAAGAGAGGAGAAGCTGATCAGGAGGCTATATCTCTTTGTTGGATCAACTTTTCAGGCTCTGAAGTTTGCTTACATTTGCCTGACTGAATTCTGCATCTTAAAGAATAATCTGTGATATCATTGCAGGTACAGATACTACAGCAGGACTGCCAAGAGTTGCGTAAAGATGTCCAGCTAGCCCAAGTGAGGCTGCAAGAGGAGGAGGAAAGAACTGCCCAACTGGAGCAACAGTGCACACAACTGAAAGCTGAGCTGGGTATGACAGTGCATTCTTGTTACATCTTTTTAGCCCTTCTCTCGCTGCTTCCACAGTGAGAGGAAACAAACACCGAGGGCCTCCAAACCTGTGGCAGGTGTATCAGTCAACAGGAATGGAGGGCAGCTTAAGAGGTGATGAAATATCAAATGCCTTTAGTTTGCATGTGATGTTTCTAAAGCCTCTTCTTACCTAGAGGAAACTGACAACAGTGGTGATCAGGGTAATGAATACACAACAAGAGTACAAAAAGATTCCATCAGCATAAATTATTTTCAGAGGAGACGTCATCTAGCAAGTAAGCATTAACACATGGTTCCTGAACTGATGTGCAAATAGAATGCCCATTGCTATTGAGTCTTTTTGCAGCTGATTAAAAAAATGCGCTCTATTAAACATCAGTATAAGGACAAGCATTTTGGTTAAGCCTGTAGTTCGTCTCATTTAGATGCCCAGTCTGCTGATGTGAAAGTAGCTGCTTATAAGGGAGCTAAGTGGCATTTAATGCACTCCTGGGTAGGAGGAAGCTCCATATTGTCAAAATTAAAGGTATGTGTTCCTAACCTAAAGTCTGTTCCTCATTCCCAAATAACTCGCAGTAACCATGCCTAAATCCTAGCATAATTATTGTTCTTGTGATCCTTCCCTCAGGACCTATTTCAGATTTCTAGCTACTCCTTTTACAGAAGTGTTCCTGTTTCTCATATGGCTTGCTTGTTACTCTGCAAATCACACATGTGATAATCAACCCACAGCTCACAAAAGGCAGTCAATATTTCTGTGTAAGGCATGGCAAGAGGAGAGAAACTTGTCATGTTGTGGCAGAGTTGGCTGAATGGGGGAGAGTGGTGGCAGAAGTCTTTCCTTCAGAACAAATCCATATGCAAATGACAAATTTAAATGAGACATACAAATTTTCCTTACTTCTGTATCAAATGATCCTGCTGATCAAGGCTTTTTCCCTTTGTTAATTGAAGGAACTTTTGAGTGATCCTTTGATGGTACGTTGGATGTCATAATATTTTGGATAGATTTCCCTCCCTACCCTGCTCGTGCTCAGTTGTCTCTAGTTGTCTTCCTTTTTTTCCAGTATGTTGTACAGCACAGCAGAATAAGAGGCTAGCTGTTATAGGCAGATTGATTCAAATTCCAACAACAATGATTCTACTTTTAGATCTGTGTGGTTTAAGAAGGGATCGAACTATTGTTCTTGTCAATGCACAAAAGCTTGTGAAGTTGCATATAGGCTGTGGGTTATAGACAGGACAAACCCTTACATGCTGGACAGCTGAAGAAGAAACTTAGGGTTATTTGATTTGCTTAAGCAGTCACCGAAGTGGTATGTGTAGGAGATTGGCATGATGGCATGCTTAATTTTAAAATTAAATAAATTACAGTTAATCTATGGAATCAATTTTAAAAAGCAATTTTGCTGAAATATTGAAATTAAAGAAAAGTGGTAAAGAACAACACATTTGTAGAAGTCTTGCCTGTTTGTGGCAAATTCAGTAACTTAGCTAAACTCAAACATTAAATCAAAGTGTCACCTTTTAAAATTCCCAAACAGATAACAAAGCATGTCCTGACATTCTTTTCTATTTTTAGACTCCAGGAACTGTATCATTTCCCAGCTTGGTGAAGAAGCAAAAGTAAGTTGTAAACAAGTATTGGTGAGGAACATAGCTAAATAAAGATCAAAACAGCCTATATGGGGCCTTTCAAATGTACCACACTTAAGAGGCAGAATTTTTATGTGGACAAATGCCAAAAGCAACCAAGGCTACTAACAATTGAATGTCTTATTTTATTATTTCACCAGTTTGGGGTTGCCATATGTATTTTTTGAAAGATTAACTTTTGTATTCTACTGAAATATCAAAACAGTGATATGAATGCCTTCCTTGGAAAGCTGGAACTGACCACGAAACACAGTTGTGGTAGCACATCTATTGCATACAAAGGAGACAAATAGATGGGTTGGTGATTAATACTACAGAAAAATCAGAACCTTGGTCAGCTGGGTACTAAATGGGCAAAGAGGTATGCGTACTGCCTATGTAGGGACTGTATGTGCTGTCTGAAGTCTTCTCTGAAAGAGTAAGTTTCAGCGAAGATGAGGTGGAAGTTGGCTTAGACATGGAGTCTCACAGTGCTGGCAAAGGATTCCTTCAATCGTGAATTGTACCACTTCTGACAGGGAGATCTTTAAGTTCAGAAGTATTGAGATTAATTATAGTGGAGACTAATAAGTTTGAGCTCAGAAGGATATGAAGTCACCCTCAACTTTCAAAGCTACGTTAGAGTGGGTAGCACTTTGGTTATTATTTCAAGGTATATTTTGGAAAGAGGCTTGTACTATAGGAGCCATGTCTGGTGCTTGCAAGAGCGCATAGCCATGCGACAATAGCTTAAACGATATAGGCAAGTATGAAACAGACTTGATATTTGTGAAGTGCCTGGCTAAGTGACATTTAATTTTTTTCTCAGTTGACGTTCTGTTTTATTGCTCCTTAGAATGCACAGCTGTCCTTTAGCAAACAATGCAAAGAGAACCTGCAACTTCAGTCTAAAATGACCGCCCTGCGAGAAACAGCAGAGAAAGTACAGGTAATGAGAACAGCTACTCTTGCTTTTAAAATGGAAATAAGAGTATAACAAAGCAAGTCATTACAGTGAGAAATGATTATACATTTACTGGGAAGCCTCAAATGCAGGTCAGGAGACAAAGTTTAGCGCCCTCAGGTAATGTGGGCTAATGAACAACTTCCAGTGAAGGAATTCAATCACTAGCCTAGATAACTGTTCCAGATTTCCCAGCCTTAAGGCTAGAAAGGTTTCTTTCCAACATTTATTTTGAATCAGCTTTTTTTTGAAAGTGTCTTCTTCAGGGGCCAGGACATGCAGAACTACTGCTGCTCCCTCTTCTATCTACCCTTGAAGTAGTACATTTATATTCCTTTGCACCTTTAGATTCTACATGAATGTGTTTCTATTAATGAGTCAAATATGGAGTACCTGCTTGGCTAAAATTTCCTCTGCCTTTTGGGGCAAAAGGTTGACCTCAGTACATTCCAAAAAAATTTATTTATTCTACTTTCCCTCTTTTTAGAACATATTTTACAAAACATTATTCTATTCTCCTCCCCCCAACAGATACTTGTTTATTAGGCAGTGTTCACTGGTAATGGAATTTGGATATGTCTTTCACAGAAAGTTCCATTTTTCTTTGGTTATCTACAATAATTCAACTATGAAATTAGTAGGGGTCCGTTTTCAATTTTTGCCTTCTTTGCCTTAGAAACATTACTTTTTTCTGGACTTGTGATTATGTTTGATTGGTAGTTTAAACTATGTTCTCTTTTTTCCCATTACTGTCAACTTTCAACACCTTGGAATAAGTCTACCATAAAGTGGGGCTACCTGAACAAATTTTTTTTTTGACACTTTCTACCTAAAATAGGTTTTTCCACACCTGCAAGAGATTTTTAAAAAGTTTCTGACAGCCTACTATGCAGAAAAAAAACCCCTAAAACCCTGACAACATGTTTGTCATCCTCTTCCTCCTCCTATCTAACCAGGTCCTTAATGACCACTTAAGCCAGCAATGCTCAGAGCTCAGCACCACACTCCAAAGTGTTGCCATGGAGAATGCTAAACTCCTTTCAGATCATCAGACCATGCTTAAGGTATGTAGCCTACTATTATAGTCCAAGAAAGTTGTCTGCATCTCAGACATTAGACAACAGACTAATTCCTAATGCTGATAATCTGTAGGAATACAGTAAAATACTTTACATATAGCAATGGAAGTTCTATAAAAGAAGTGATAAAAAAGTGTTAGTGTCCTTCTTTGGCAAAGCCTTATCTTCAGTACAGAAAAGAGTCATCTGTCATGGGGAAAGACTGTAAATATGATAATACTATTTACAGAAACATCCTGTAACAACCACTGAGAAAGAGGAATGTAGGAATTGATGGACATTGTAAGTACTGTAAATGGGGAAGCTGAGTGGAAGTCATAAGGATCTGAGATTAAATACGTATATAAAAGCTAGGTAAGGTGAACTCAGCTTTGACACCCTATTCAAGAAGCAGCACACCACAATATGCAGAACTACAGGGATGATGCAGGAGCTTAGTGGCAAATTAACAGCTTTGTAAATTAATTACTCATCCCTCATCATTCTGATGCTAGTGTTATTGCCTGGGTAATTTTTCCCCTTTAGGCAGAACAAGAAAAGACTCGTAAGCTGCAAGAGCAAGACTCGCTTCTGAATGCTGCCCATGCCAACGTTCTCAGAGAGCTGCAGAGTGTGCAGCATGAGAGGGCTCAGCTTCAAAGAGAGCTGTGAGGAGTTTTCTCATCTGCAGCTTCTGTGTCCCCTTCTCCGCTGCATTCTCACCACCTTGATTTCTGCTTCTCTAGCACTTGTTACTTATTAACACAGAAGGGCCAGTTTGGTATTTAATATGGAGGCCATCTTCTGTCCTTCTGTTGTGCTAGAACTCCAGCTTGGCTATTTTGTCTTTCTTTAGGGAGGCCTTGCATATAGAGCATGGGAAGTACAGGCAGAAAGCAAGCCTTGCTGAGGAGGCAGCAACCACACAGAGACAGGTTTTGGAATGTACTGTTGCTAGACTGAAAGGTGAACTTGAGACAGCTTTGCAAGAGAAAGGATCTCTGCTGGCAGAAAAGGAAGATCTTCAACAGGAGGTACAGAAAACTTGGTTTAAAGCTGTATTCTTGAAGGCTGCTTTTGGGCTCATATCACTAGAGTTCTTATTTACATACCAGTTTTGCTTTCAGAACGATTATTTTTTGATATTGCAGTGGCAAGTGTGACACACTCTCCCCTTTCCTACTATGCTTATATTTTGACTTGTAATGACTCCTCTCTGAAGCATGAAAAGAGAGAGAAGACAGGGCAGCTTTGCAGATATTATTTCTGAACTTCAGAGTTGACTTGCAACCTTCAGATCAACTGTTCTGAAGATATGTAGTATTTCTATGAATCTGGACGTTTTCATGTGACAACAATTTCACATTTCTTTTGGCAGATAAGGACAACAGCAAATGAAACAATACAGGAAAGGAATAAATTGGAAGTAGAAAAAACAGAGAATGAGGTATCTTGCAATATATATGGCTGTTCTTTAAATATAGTATTGTCTGTCTTCTAAGTTTTTCCTTTCATTTTGCTTACTCTTGCTTAACTAAATTATTTCTAAATAATGTGATATTTACCATATCCATATTGTTCACTTTGCTGTTTGATATTTTTCTTGTCTATGTGGATGTGTCCTTTGGAGCAGCAACCCTACTGCCTCCAACACAAGATCGTATTTGTAGTAATAAGTTTGTTATGCTACTGTAGCAAATGCTATAGCATGCTTGTAGCTGTTTTACCTGTGTAACTTCTTTGCATATGCATAGCCTGGAAAAGGAAAGGTAGCATTTATGGTACAAATGAGAAATTCCTTGGTGTTGTGACTGAAGTCAGCATGATTCTTTCACTGTTGCATAATTGCTCTCCGAAACAGGAGATACTATACCTAATCCATATGTAGTGCTGAGGTTTTGTGATATTCATGTATTGTGACTGGAAATCTTGAAGTGGTACGTTTATAGAGTTGGATTTTCTTGTTCATAGCTAGAAATGGTTTCAATGAAACTCACTTTGCAAACACTAGAGGAAGAGAACAAGAGGCTATTGGATCATTTGGCTGCACTGGTACATGAGCAGGTAAGCCACTAATAAAGTAGATAACTGATGACCTGACTGATAAGTAACTATAGCAGGAATCAAGGTGCTCTTTGATGTAATCTGTGTTTTATGGAGAATGGCTGATCAAATTAAGGAATCAAAAAGGGGGAAAAAACGAAAACAAAAGGGTAAGGTATCTCAAATGTTACTCCATCTTTTTAGATGTCTGTGTGGGATGAGCTAAGAGGACTATATAGAGCTTCAGATATTGGATATTTAGGTATGTCACTAAAAACCTATGACTCCATTCCATTTTCTAGTACAGGTACACAGCTTGTATATCTGTACATATATATTCAGCTTGTGTACATTGGGAAGGTATTAACAGTTTTATGCCCTTTGTGGACAAATTTGCACTTGGGACCTCATTCCCATTTTTAACTTATTCCCATTCAATTATTTCTCACTACTCTCAGTCACCTGGATCAGGATACTTGACCAGTTCCATAAAGTTGAGTAAAAGCTTAGTAATACTGTGCTACCAGTGCTTTTACCATTGGATTTTTTTTTTTTTTACAGTGTTGTATGTAATGACCAGTTGTATACGTTGGAGATCCTAAGAAACACTTAACTGCTGATAAGGTCCTAACATCACGATACTAAAGGAGAATTAACTAAAATGGTTTTTGAATGTTTCTTATTTGATAATCAAAGTTACATTTCTACAGCAGTTAGTCTCTAACATTTGCATATCTTTTTTCTACTTAACACAGAACTCCTTTGGCAGTCATCAGTTAAAAAATATGAATCAATAGAGCATTGAGAACCTTAAAAAGTTGTCCAATTTTTAATTTTTTTGCATTCTTTACTGTCTTTCTAAGTTATATTAATTCTGTGTATGCCTTTGCATTCCTCTAGTTATTTTTGCTTCTCTGTTCCCAGTTGTCAAAGACTTCTTTCATCTCTCCATTACTGTTGCCTGTGCTTCTAGGACAGTGGCCTCCTTGTGGCCATGTAGAAGGTTGTACCCATTTGAGCAGTTCTTCCTAGAGGTTAAGCTGTCTTGAAGGAATTTATGCCATTTGGATATTTTTGTATTTTTTTAAAATCTGTTATAGCGTTTCGCCTAATTGAAAACGTACACATGAAGCAACAGAGGAAGGTTAAAATACTCGGGGAGAAACAGGACATTGAGCACCTTTTTTGTTGCTTTTTGCCTTGTTTTTTCCTATGGAATGGTGACATCTGCTCTTTTTTCCTCAGTATGCCCAGCAGCAGGTGCAGCAGGTACTGGCAGATTTGACTGACAGTAAGAATAAACTGACTCGTGACAAAGGAAAACTTCAGGTACCTCTCAGCATCCTATTTGTCAGCTCAAAAGGGAAACTCATTTTTTAATGTTCATCTAACATAAGGTTGTTTAGCTCTTCATACTTAACTTAAAGGGAAGTGCTTATTTATTTTCTCTGCTTAATTTATTTGTGTGGTATCAAGCTGTTCTGGTTTCAGCTGGTATAGAGTTAATTTTCTTCCTAGTAGCTGGCATAGTGCTGCGTTTTGGATTTAGTATGAGAATAATGTTGATAACACACTGACATTTTATTTGTTGCTAAGTACTGCTTACACTAGTCAAGGACTTCTCAGCTTCCCATGCTCTGCCAGGTGCACAAGAAACTGGGAGGGGACATAGCCAGGACAGCTGACCCAAACCAACTAAAGGGCTGTTCCATACCATATGACATCATGCTCAGTATATAAACAGGGGGGAGTTGGTTGGGGGGCAGTGATCACTGCTCAGGGACTGACTGGATATCGGTCGGCAGGTGGTGAGCAATTGCATTGTTCATCACTTGCTTTGTATATTCTTTTATCATTATTATTATTTTCTCTTCCTCTGCTGTCCTAGTAAACTGCCTTTATCTCAATCCATGGGTTTGGGGTTTTTTTGTTTCTGATTCTCTCCCCCATCCCACTGTGGGGGGGAGGGTGAGCGAGCAGCTATGTGGTGCTTAGTTGCCAGCTAGGGTTAAACCATGACACAAGCACATATACTAAGAGAGTACTGTATCAAAATCATCTTAGATCCTGCTTATACTGCCTTTGGATGACAGGATGCTGTTGATGTAGCATCTCTAGGGTTTGTGCTAATTAGGTTGCTTAATGTGTGAAAATAGTAGAATAGCTAAGAACCACCAGGGGGCATTAAAACAAAATATATGGGTAGAAAATTGGTTGAAAGATTAGAAATGTGGAAAACTTTATAAAAAATACAAATTAATAAGGAGGGAGGCAAACCATGGTGGTAAGCAAAAATAAACAGCATAGGTAAGCTTTCTTAAGCAGAAGTTAGCTAGACAGTAAATGAGGTGCTGAAAGTAAAGCTTTTACTTCAGTGTGACCTATGTCAGAGTTTGGGACAGTGGTGCAAAGATTCCTGAGTTTCTTTTAAAAACAGCACAGAACGTGTAGTGATTATTAGAGAGCAAGAAAGCTACATTTATGCTATAGTCCTAGGTCTGATGCTAGTGACAGAAGTGACCAAGACATCGTACTTAGATTAAAACACGGTGAATTCTGATCTGGAATTATTTCTATGGAAGGATAAGTTAGAAGCAATTCACTTGCTGCTTCTCCTACTATTGGGACTCGGGGAAAAGAAAACATCTACTCTGGGCAGAGAGACATTGTAACATCACTCTGCTTCTGTGTTCCAGATTAAGATAATGCTTTTCCGTTTCTGCACTAGAAGAAAGCTGAGCTATTTTGCCACATCTCTCAAGACTGAAGTGCAGACACTGGAGGAAGAGCTGTAGATGCATGTTTAGATAATAGTGAGCTTTGCAAGTGCATTGCATAGAGACTAAATACACTTGGGTGAAACAGAACTTTGAGAACTTCTTACCCCTCAGAATAAGGGTCAGAATAACTAATGCTTACATAGCCATTAGAAATCAGATTCAATGCACTTTTTGCTGAAGAACAGAGCACGCATTTGGTGTTAACTGTAGCATTCTAGTCTGCAGCTGGAAGTAGAACCCAATTTCATCAAAACAAACATGAGAACTATGGAAGCTTAGCTGAACAGAGCTGTTTTTTGTGCAAGTTGATTGCATGTATTCAGGCTAGAACACACACAGTTTACAGGATTATAAAGATAGTCCTCAGGATTTTTTATTATTTCCCAGTAAGAGAACAAATAGTTGCAGATAATACTTGTGTAGCTATATTGCTGGGAAGCAGATAGTTATTCTGCTTCAGTCTGTTTGCTCAGTCTAAATAGACAGAAGTACAGAGAAGAGGTGTGTTAACCTGGGCAGTGAAACCAAGCTTGTAGGTGTAAGACTGTGAAGTGGACTCTGCTCTGTCCTGAGTTTGCTATTCCAAGCTCTTAAGTTCAGGTAACTGCATTGAGACTTCTGTTCACAAGCAAGAATGAACTCATAACAGTAAATGCTCTTTACAGCCTCCCCTTGTTTCTCAGATACCAAAGAAATCTTGTAATCATTTTGAGTTGGAAAACTAAAGAAACAAAAGTGATAAACTGTCAATCATATCTGTAACATCCATCAATCTAGAAATTAGACAGAAGATGTAACCACATTTAGGACACCTCCCTGGAAGTTCTGTTTCCAGAAAGCAAAATGAATCAAAGTTTCTCTTGTACTTTATTCTCCATCATAGAGGATGGTCCATCAGGTAGTCAAAGGCAATTGGATATTATGTTGATGATTGGAATCCATGATCTGAATGCTTTCAGATTTTGAGAAAGTTAAAACACTCAGTTCCATTGGTTTGCAGATACAGAGAACTAGCTGTAGAAAGGTCTCACAGTGGGAGCAGACCAGAGCGCTGCTCAGAACCAGGGGACTGTGCTGGCCCTGTGGAGCTGTGACAACAGCTAACATCACAGACTTCTAATGAAGTTCCAGTCAGCACTGTGTCTTGCTGCTGCTGAGATACAGAGGGAAGTCACATTACTTTGGATAATGTGCTGTGAGAAGTATCACAGAAGGGAGCTTAAATATATTCCTGAAGTAATGCAGACTTAGGAATAAGATGTAGCATGTAATTCTGCTCCAGTGAATAGATGTTTTGGAGAGTATTTTTTCAGTTTCGCAAGAAATGGCTGAAAATTAACAGGGACCAAAACCTGTGAGTGTTTTTTGTTTGAAAGAGATGCAGGTGAAAACTTAAGTAAGCAACATTAGAATCAACAACTAGAATCAACTAGAATCAACTGGTTTTGACTAAAAACCCAGCTTCATGCATCTATGGCCCTTCCTGAAGCCTGTGTGCCAAGAGTTCAGAAGCATTGGAACTATCAGTTAACACACCCACAAAAAACCCCCAAGAACACCACCACACACTCAGCTTGGGCTTAAACCAGGGGTAGAATTAGAGGAAGCTATTTCCATGTTCAGAACCATTGCATACTCTTGGCACTGCTGCAAACATGCAGCTTACTTATAAAAGAATCCTTTAATAAAACTCTAATAGATGACTGATTTTCCTGCTCCTTTTCCTAATGATTTCTTGTACTGCAGATGGCAAACCTGCAGCACCAACTGGATGCAGCAAAGGATTACAACAATAAGGTGACAGCCATGCTGGAGCATATGTTAGCTTCTCATAACAAGATGAAAGCAGCTCTGGATGTGGTACAAACTGAGCTGGGACACAAGGACACTGAAATCAGCAACCTCAGAAAAGACAAGTAAGTGAAACTGATACTGTTTCTGTGGTCTGTCAGCAGTGTGGTGAAGACAGATACAGTGGAAGAGCTGCATCTTCCCCGTGGTTCTGGCTAATAAGCTATAGAACAAGTTTGTTTGAAAAGTTTCCTATATCCTTTCCTGCAACACTGAAACATACTTAGTACTAGTGAACCAAGTACACCAAGTACCTGTAGCTAACTCTGCAAGCTTGGCAGGCCTTGTGCCTCTTGTGGAAAGTATGTAGAAAACAATTTAAATTTAACTTCAGTGACAGGCAAAACTTAATATGGCTAAGGTAGAGAACCAAACTGTGAGATGGTCACCACTTCAGAAGAGATATGCACAAATTGACCTAATGCATGATTGTTTTTTAATCCCATTTCTGTTTTCAGGACCCAGACTCAGCAGAAAATGCAGAGGTTAGAAACAGAATTGGAACATTGCCAAGCCAAACTGGTTGCCATGGGAAGGCAACAGAGCAGCCAGGTAGAGACCGCATTTTTCCCGTAGTAACAGCCACCACTGTATTTTTGGTGTTGAGCCAAGTATCTTTTCTTTTCCTGAATACAATACGGTGCGAAACATTCACATGAATCAAGGCAAAAACATTCTATCAACTTTTGGCCGTGGAGCAGGAAAATCGTTATCCAAGTGTTGAAGGAGGCAAGCCTCTCCTCTCTAAAGAAAAATGCCTTGGCACAGGTGAAGGTTTTACAGTCTGCAGCTGGATACATAATATGAACAGAGATTTTGGAAGTTTATATAGCCTTTATTTTTTTTCTTGTTAGAATGGAGGGGAGAAGAGTCCAAGGAATTGCTTTCATCTGTCCTCATAATACTTAGTTTCAAAAGGATTACCTCACAACCCAAACACACTCTTTATTGGCAAAGAACATTTTTTTCCCAAGAATTCATGGCTAGACAAGTTGTTCTGATCCTTCTGACTAACCCAGTCAGTGGATTGGCATTGTAAGGATTCCCATCTAGATGCCTGTGCTTAGGACATTTGTAATCAGACAGTTGGTGAACACACTTACTTCCTGTAAGTTGATACTGACTGGGAAGGAAAAAAATACTCCTTTCTAAGCTTTCTCATTTGGGTAAGTATAAATCTGATTTGTTGTTACTGCACAGGTGGAATCACTTTGTAAGGCACTAGAAAGTGCTAGAACAGACAACAAGAAACTTGTTCTTCGTTTGGAAGAAGTTCTGCAGGTCAATAATACCCTGCAGAGCAAGCTGATCCAAACCCAATATGAACTGAAAAGTAAAGAAACTGAGCATCAACAGCTGATGGTCTGCAGGTAACACCAGATCCATGATACTATACTTGAGGAGAAACATTTTGCACTAGCATCAGAGCTTTATGGCTTTACTCATCTATCAATATCAGCATTGACTGTATGCTGAGCCAGCAGCAGGATAAAGATAGATTCATGCAAAGCTATAGAAATGGGCTCTTTCACTCATTCCCATAATGACGCTTTAACCTACTCTGCTGTACTGAGGAACTGCTTACCCAGGGTCACTATGGTACTTCTTACAAACAGCTTTTCTGTGTGGATAGCAGATAGCACTTCCACTTTGAAGTGGCCTGCAGTAGCTATAGCAAGGAGAGCACAGGATAGCTGTTTAAATTTCACACCTAAAACTGAACGCTTCTAAGTAAAACCTTAAACTTAAGTGTAGGGGCAGTCTGAATTTCCTCATTATCCTTTGTCTAAACAGGCTTAGCCATTTAATTTTCTGAAGAAAAGTAAGTTGTCCTGAAATGTTTTTTCAAAAAAGTCTATTTACCTTGTATAGCTATTTTGAACCTCCTTTTAAATAAATGGAATATGAAATATTAGAAAACACATTCCAATCTTTAAACAACAGTGGTGCAGAGTATATCCAAGACAAAAGTGTTTACTATGGAATTGTCTTTTCTATTTGTGCGTTTAGAAAGTAAAGCATATTAAATATAAACATAACTGAATTTGTTTCTTCTCTTTAAAGGGAACGATTAATGGAAAAAGCCAGGACTGAGGAAAAGATGTATGCTGAACATTTAGAGTCTTTGAAGAAGCAGTTTCAAACTGAACAAGAGGCTTCCAGGAAAGCTGCCTGTCAAGAATCTGCTAAGGTGAGAAGGGATAGAATTAAAAGATTTCAGTGAATGATTTCCAGAGAAAGAGGTCTGCTTTACAGTTTTCCAACAGAACAAGAGCAACTGATGACAAGTATTTGTCTCCTTTTCCATTCATCATGGAGTTGTCCCTCACTTGTATACAACAAACAGAATTTTGTCATGTGGTGGACAGACGTTTTAGTGGCCACACATAGTGATGTCTGTACTCTCTTCACTTTTGCAAGTACCACTCTCTATCCCCTAACACTATATACCTCATTGTACATAAGATCTAGACATTAATATCAGTCATTCCAGTGACTTCAAAAGGATAATCTGGGGTTGTATAGCAACCTCCAGGGATAAAATACTGGTTTGGAGGTCTGCTTTGTTTCTTGGGGGCTGGATCGTAAAGGTCAGCATAACCTTAGTATTACTCAGATCCCAGCATTCACTTTTTTCCCTTTGTTAGAAGGGTATTAAAGAAAAGTCAGAACACCAGATGCTGTAGCACACTTCAGATACAGCAAATCAGTTGGGTGTGCTGCTTATTAATTGTTGTATAGAATGAACTAATTCTTAGAGTTAGTGTGAACTCACTTTTTCCTCTTTCCCCTAGGTAAAGAAATCCCTTGAAGAATCCTCCTCCAAATTGGCTGAAGTTTCCCGTGCTAACAGGGAGCTACGGCAGAAAGTAATAGAGCTGGAAAAGTCTTCATCCAGTTACAGGGAAAAACTAAAAAGCCAAAGAGCTCAAGTCAGACAATGCCTGGCCTATAAAGCTAACACAGAAAGGGTAAAAGTATGCACACATTTTTCAATAAAGATAGATGTCCTACTTGAAAATTCCTTTTTCCTCCTACTGAGTAGGACTGCTGTTGATCCTTTGCAGCAGAGCTAGACTTGAAAATAAAACTAAGTCTGGACTTGGATTCTGAACAGAAGATGAATAGATTGATAGCAGCTACAGTAATTGTGTGGCTTCTCCTGTCATCCCTCCCCCCCATATTAAGTACAATGCCAGAGTCCCATCTCCCCATGAGACTTTTATAGTTGCATTTCTCCTCTTTATTATTTTGTGGATACAGTCTATTTAATTATTGATTGGGCCAAATGTTGCTTGTGTAGTGATTAGTCCCTTTCCATCCTTTATAGCCGTAGAATTTACAGTTCAACTGGTACCTGATCCTAAATGAGAATCTAGACTCTGCCACCGCCTTGTTCCCCTTTCCCTAGCGGGGCACAGGTTCTCTTAACTTCAGTCTCATAGGGCAAGATATAAGGACGCAGTGCGCAGACATCTGCAGAAATAGTTCCCACATAACAGCCAATGAGCCTGAAAAATTCCTGAACTTTTGTTTCTCTCAACAATTTCCAGGAGACTGAATCTGAGCTGAAGAAAATGGAAGCAATAAAAGAGGAGTATCAGAAGAAGAATTATAAACAAGTGAGCTTTCTTGACCAGTTTCTTGAAGAGACCGATCTGCTAAAATGTTGCTGGAATTTCATTCTTCTGTTGTCTTCAGTCACAGGACATCCAGAAATTTGTGTCAGAGTTGAAAAGTGTGCAGAGCGAGATGCAAGTGTTGTTGAAAAACCAACATGAAGTGCAAGTGCAGCACAGGCAGCTGGAGACCCAGCTGGAAGCAGAGAGAAGACAAAGGGAGCAGCTAGAAAATGAATGTCAGGTAAAGCAGTAAGAGCATGAAAAAATGGCGAGACAGCCATGGAAGGGTTTTTGTGCAAAATCTATGGGTTTGTAGAAGAGGTGGTAGAAAGACTTTATGGACTCAGTCAAAAGATATTCCTATAAATATTACTGTGTCTGCTCCAGAAAGCCTGAGTAACTCCTTAGTAGACTTTCAGTACATATCTGACTTTAGAGAGAGACAGGGTTTTTTTAAGTGATAGAACTCTAAGCTATTTACAATAAAGATTGGAGAGTCCTTCTGTTGTATTGCAATTTTTTTGTGCCATGAAAAAACTGTATAGAAATTAATGTTACTTTTTTTTTTCTACCTAGAAACTGGAAAAAACAGTCAAACATCTGAAGAAATATAAAGAGGAGACAGAAAAGAAACTGAAGGAAGCCAGCATAGAGTCAGAACAGGTGAGACTAGTTAGCATTAGAATAATAATTCATTGAAAGTAACAAGAGAGTATTTCAGCATATGCACCAAGTAACCCTTTCAATCTCACATATACATATCTGGTGAAGAGTGAGGTGCATCCTTGGCCTTTTCAACTTTTTTTTCTTTTTTTAATTTAAAGTTCTTCTCTTTTCTGTGAATCACTTCAATTTAGTGGGGCTTGTAAGAAGAGGTTTTGTCCCACACAGCCTATCATTTTTATCAGGCTTGAGATATCTTGTGTTAACCAACCAAACCAAAGTGTTGCGGCCAAGTAAATTGCCCCCCTGAGCTGCTCTTGTGTCACTCTATATGTGACATCACGCAAAATCACATTTCCCACCCTCCACCCCCACCCCAAGAAGTCATTTGTCCTTGCATCACCTCAGCCTTGCACTACTGTACCACAATATCCAAATTATTATAACTTGTATGGGTTACTCCAGTAGTTTGGGGTGAAAGTCTAGGGGTTTAGATATTTTATAGGGTATTAACCAGCATGAAGTAAAATAAAAAAAGTAACAGAGGTGCCCCAGCCTGAGGTCTTACATGCCGCTTATGAGTCCAAGTACTGTTCTGTGATTAGAAAGAGATCTTAATAGCAAGAGAGTATTTCTACAGCATTATTCTGGTAAAGTTAGTCTTCCTCAGTCTTTCTCAAAACTTTGTGGTACTCTGCATCTATTTCCCTCCACCCCCACCTTCTTCCCAATGCCTCTGTATTTTATGCTGTGTTGGAGACCAGTGTTGACTTCATTACCCCCTAACAGAGGGGCAACTTTGTAGCGAGGACCTCTCTGATGCATCCTTTTCACAGCAATGGAAGAGAGCATCATGGAGAGCTCCTACCCCTACATACAGGAGAAAGATTTGAGTTGTATGCTGTTCTGCCCCTTCTTGCACAGAGCTCAAAAAACGAACACAACGTGCATTAACTGTTCTCTCTGCAGTTCTAATTACACTGTCTTGCTTAGATCACAACTAGCCTAGAAGCAGCTCACCGTTGGTTCAAATCTAAGTTTGACAGCCTGCAGCTAGAAGTTGTGAAAAACCACTAGCCAAAGAACCCTGAAGAGAGCAGCTTCAAAAAGGAGGTAAAGCAAGCAAGCACATTCATTTCAAAGGGGGAAGCAAAAAAAATAGTTGGGGGCAGTTTTGGTAGCTCATTATCAGTCAGGATTTCAGTTTCCTGAACTTTCTTTTGTAGTTCCTTACACAGGGGTGGAAAACAGACCCCTCTTCTAGTTTAGTTTGTTTCCTCCTCTTTTGCCAAAGGACGTATTTAAGCAGAAAAGAATATTACAGGTACAAGATAGTTTCAAGGGTCTGTTTCTGTACTTGGAAAAGTTCTGTTGCATGTACTTCATGTTTTGTTGATGCTCATTAACCAAATGCTTGTCTGGAAGCTAACAGTATATTTCCATCTCTGCATTCACCTCCATTTCAGTGGTTCTCCTTCCCCTCCTCCATACCTTTTCCAGATACCCTTTCAACAGCCACACTTACCTTGTCTGTGTAGATGCATCAGCCTTCTCCATAATTGATAGTTCTTATATAGCTGTGTAATTAGCTTTTTAGAGATGTATGTAGTAAACTGCTAAAACTTTAATCTCTTCTTTAGTAATGACAAAGGTTCCCCACCAGTCATCAGCTTCATAAAACATTGCATCTTTTCCCAGGAGAAAAAGCAAGAAGAGCTTCCCACTCACAACACTCCCTGGGCAGCAGGGCAAGGACCCAACGCCTCCAGCTCACCATCAGGAAGGCCCACGTGAGCTGGGCAGGAAATGAGCTCACTTGACTGGGTGATTCCCAGCCCAGGGAGAGCATCACCTGCCACCAGGAGACTCCCTGCTAGCACCCAGGTGCTGGAAGAATTGGGAATTTTACTTGATCTGCCATAGTTAGATAGGTCTGCATCACTGAGGCGGTCTTGCAAATCACAGGTGCTCACAGGGCACCCATATATAGGAGACCTAGGAATGCTTGTTTAAATCATAAACTCTGATTTAACTCATACCTCTCACCTTGGCTTTTTGACTCAGGTGCTTTGCATTGTGAGGCTGATACTAACAAAACTAGTATTTATAGCAAAACGATTATTCTTTATCATTACTGTAAACTATGTGCTGTTGATATGCTACATCTTTGCTTTCATCACTTGTCTTTTACCAGCTTTAGACTATGGCCTGGCAGGTGCTACCAAAACAAATCTCAGACTGGTTTGCAGAGGGTTCAGGCGAATTACTGGAGACCGAGTCATGTGTCTGTGGCTGGATGCTGACGTGACTGGGACAGGGAAGAACTGGCAGGACTGGCTGCTTCTAATGTAGATGATATGTGGGTCATGAGAGAACATAAGCCTTGGGCTATTTTAGGAGCATATAAGGAATTCATTAGGTGTGTGATGTTACACCACACATCATCTTACCTTCGTAAGAATTAGTGGAATTTGTTCAACCTATCCTACTGTGGAACAACGCACTGGGGAAGGAGTAGTTGAAGCAGATGACTTATGTCATAGTATGTTAAAGATGATTATAACATGGACAGTTTTCATGCTTGTTTAACTGAGGCTTAACTCATCTTTGTCATGGCTTACTCTTCCACATGGTTTCAATACAACCTAGCTTTGGTACAGGTGGTGTTGCACTCTGATCTGCTTTAACAGAGCTGTTTGCAAACTCCTCTGTGATCAATAGTACTATTTATTTCTGTGGGATCTATACATGTTATTTGCAATACTTGTTTAGTTTAGTGGGGAGGGAAGTCTTGCATACCTCTGGAGCCTAGTTGTAGCCCAAGGACATACTGGAATTGGTTCATTCTGCTCCTCCAGAAATTTGGTCCTAGACTATAACTTATGTGATAGGACTCTGGACTAATTCATGGTGACCTGAGCCTCTCCTCCTTGAAGCAAATGGCTGCTCTAAGGAACAAGGGGTGGCTGAGCATGCTATTAAAGCTAATGCACACCTGAGCTTCATTAAATTGTGCTGCTTAGAAGCAGGCCTATGCAACATGGCTTTAGGTTTGTCCCAGTCAAGCTGGTTCCTTCAGAAATCAATTGGCATCTATGCCACACCTGCTCCGTAAAGCTGCTTAGGTGGCTTAGCGTAAGCTGTGCTTCTACCTCCACAGTGCCCTCAGGCAAACAGCAGTCAAAACAGTAATCTAGTTTTGCTTGCTATGACCTCATGCTGTAGAGTAATCACAGCTGGAAAAAAAAAAAAAAACAACCCAGTCTTCTCAAATAGCACTTACCATTTAACACTTTTGTTTATATTGAATGCTTACGTAGGTTGTCTAACAAGGGACAAATTATTGTGACCTTTGCCTGTGCAAAAAAGACAAAGCATATGGCAGCTGCATTTGTATGAACTGCACATTGGCAGGGCAGCAGCACCAACCACCTCTTCTGTTTTCCCTCTGCGGGAGTTTTTTTTAACCAACATCTGGTATACCTCAAAGGCTGGTTCTTCACCCCTTCCTTGTTCCAGAATCCCCTGCTCTCTCTAGGGACATGCATCTACAGTTACCTCGTGTATTGAATGCAAAGTCTGATTATATGGCTGTGGCCATTAAACTTGGTACTTATATTTGCATAGTGACAGCCTATTCCAGGTTGAACACAGCCTGTTGCTTCTTCTAAACCTGTCTGGGGTTTAGGGTGGAAAGCAGTAAGATACGGTGTAATTGTGAAGGATTACTGTAACCCAGTGCCTTTTAACTTCAGCACTACCTTAAGTTTTGGCTATGCTTTGCTTTAGCAAGTGATGCAGCTCAGTGGGTCACATGCAGAATGAAAGAGCTGGTCTGGATGCGTTTTGGATTTTTTTTTTTTTTTTTTTTTTTTTTTTCTTCAGATTTGCTCTAGTCTGATCCTGCTGACTGAATGTTCATAGCAACTGGAGCACTTCTGGAAGCCATCTTCTAACTTGCTTTTGTTTAAAAGGAAACGAGTTTGTCTGCTCAGAGCCTGCCCTGCAATGTGAACCACAGCATGGGGAGTGACAGCTCACCCATTCAAAATATCAGAAGTACACAGTGGACAAAACTTGTTATTTTCTTTAAACATAGTAATTTCAATAACACTGTAGTAATCTAACACTGCTGCCACCAGCAGGATCAATAATTGAGGTCTACGTTGTCAGCCTTTCCCTGGGCTGGGTAGCTGCTGAGCCTCTCTTATAGTTACAGTAATATTAGCAGTATGGAAAATTGATTTTTAAAAGCAGTGAAAAATTTGGTGGTGGTTTGTTCCACCCCCCCCCACCCCCCCCCCCCACCCCCGACCCACAGCCCCAACCCACAGCAAACAGCTTTCTACACTTGTCAATGCTAGTATCCGATAAGCACAACAGAAAAGGTATGACTCAGTTTTTAAGGTAATCAGCAGATGCTTTTATGAGCAGCCTTTAATATGCCTTGAGTTAGTGTTTTATATAAAATAGCTCTTCAGCAATAAACAGCTAACAAAATTATCGTGGTTAAACCAAGTAGTTTGACAATATATGTCGTGTGTTTGACTGAAACTGTTAGTAGTTCTTAGTGAGGCTTGAGGACTATTCCCAACATGCTGACAGGTGAGGCTGGCATTGATTTAAGTATTCTTTCCCTCTTAATCTCTTGCTCTCAGTGATTTATGAAACCTGTCCCAAAATTGCAGTGGCTGGATTTCAAGCTTTTCCTGCCTTGCTCTTTGTTTCCACAATTCAAGGTCAGGTTGGACGGGGCTCTGAGCAATGTGATCTAGTTGAAGATGTCCCTGCTCACTGCAGGGGTGGTTGGACGAGATGATATTCAAAGGTCCCTTCCAACCCAAACAATTCTATGATTCCATGGTTTTACATTTCAGTAAAATAGTCCTTACTGTGAAGAATTAGGAAAGGTGCTGGCTTCATCTCCCCTAGTGTTATGTTCTTGTGAGCATCCTTAAAACAAGCTACAGCCAAGTAAGCCTAAACATGAATATAGCACATGCCAAAATAAATCCCATACGGATGCTCATACCCTGAGAAATACTTGTTTTAAACTCACAATCCCCTGTGTATCCTCCATCCCTTACATAAAGTAAAATGAATTGTGCAGTACAAGTTCACAACTTAAGTGTTTGAAAAAATTCCAAAGTAAAGGCACTTTATTAGCAGTATTGCAAGTGAAACGTGGTTTAAAACTTACCCGATTCTGTATTGGACAGTACAGCTGTGGCTGTATACTTAAAGCCTAGATTAGCATACGTACTTTCTGTACGCATCTCATGTTCTGTGCTTTACTCTTCTTTAAGCAGGTCAGTTCCCATGGGCTGTGCCTGTTTAAACTTCTTTTCTTTTTATTGGGGAACTCACATTCCTACAGCGTCTATTTTGTCTCTTGCTCTGTCTGAAGTCTTGGCTAATCCGTTACTGCTGCACCATTACAATATAACATATTTGTAATATTGTGTAAAAGTGAAATCTAAGTAAGACTGTTTATCTCGTAACCATAAATGGAAGTTGGATATAGCTAAGGAAAAATTGAAGTTCTGTATTCATACCCTTTTTTTCCCACAAGCATTTGAGAAAGCTTTAGATAAACTGGCATTGAGACAAGTAGTATCTCTTCCTTCCAGATGCTCAAAATTGTTTAGAACATCCTTTCAGAACACTGTTTGCTGGCAGTATGAATTTTCCAGTCCATATTGCCTGGGTTTAATTAAATGCAAGTTTCTGTTATTTGGTGCTTAAAAACAAGTTACAAAGCAGTTTCAAAGTCATCAGCATTCAGATTGTATTTTTCCTTTCTATTTGTGTGAATGCTAAAGATTCATACCTTCTAGGTTTAAAAACTAAACTACTTCAGAATTCTAGCAGCAGTAGGGATCAGAAATAAAGTAATTAATAGTAATGTCTTGATGTTGGTCAATTTTTAAGACAATTCTTAAAATAATCCCACAACCTTCCTCTATATCAAGTCTGTTTAAAAGAATGCACAAGCAAGGATTCTGAGTATTTCATTCAGTTTTGGAGAAGAATAATGCAAAGGGAATCTGCGTACTGGATCTCTGGCTTCTGTTTTC